CCTACTGATTCCACTGCGCAATATACGTCTACAAGGCTTACATCTCACACGTACACCCCTTTATGATAAACTTTGTGCTCAATGGTATCGCCCGACCAGCAGCTTTTCGTGTTCGTAGTCTTTGTTCCATGACCTTTAACCTTTACGTGACGTGTCACCCATAGCAACGGACAGGTGCCACACCGGCGTACACAATGGCGCCCGGGGGCACACAGTAACACCATAGAGGGTGACATGGCAAGTCTAACGCCTCATGAATAGTACATGACTACCAGTGTTCCGTCTAGGGTGACCTTTAATATTACACACCATTCCACAATCAGAGGTGCTTCATTCGCGAGGGATCTAGAACGAAGAACACACACAAAGGACGTGACGACCATTAAGGTAAGAACGTCTACATTATTACATGATAAAGTATGTGCTACACTCAATATAAATTAATAGTTAGTGCTTAGTTATAAACCTGCATTTCTCCTGCAGTCTCTTAGTGTCTCTGACGAAAGTTAGTGGACGCTACCTGAAACGTCTGACCGTTTCCAAAATCATATATACCCAGTTGCTTGAGTAACTGTTTACGAGCGTAGTTTTATTACCTGGATGTCTAACCTTCACCGATGTATGTGTTACACTGTGTTAGACTCCATATAGCGAGTTTGATATTTTTTGTAAACGGAAGGCTACTGAAACCACAGCACGGCACATTTAGAGATAGCACTTATTCTTCTGTTAGTAATACATAAAGATACTCAAGAAAAACATAACTTATGTGCTAATCTACAGCGACTCGTATACATATAACCATAAATATCATATGTCGTATACTTAAAATGATGTTAATGGGCAAGATTTAGTGGGAGAAAATTAGATTCTTAAGAGTGTCTGTTGCCAGAAAAAATGCTAATAGAATTAGTATTCACGGCAGGTTGCTGGAATCTGATTATAACTGTCCGCTGTCTTTCTCTGCGTCGTTCATAACTCATTTATCGTTTCCTGCTGGCTGTCGACATTATGCAGCAGTCAACACAAACCTTAAGAGAGAATACCAAAATAATATACATACAGATTTAGTATACTCTGTCCATACTAAACATCACGATACTACAAGATCCTGGAACAAAAGCTCACTTCCAGGGTAGCAAAAATAATGCTGCAAAGGGGGGATTTTGGCAACATAAAAATGTTATTTTAACATTTAAGGCAATTGACCCCCATACCCACCCCTATTAGATATCGCTATGTGGGCAATACTATCATGACATAGACCTCGTCATTATTTGATCTAAAATGCTGACTGCATGTACATGTCATAACCTTTCAAATTGGTACCAGTGTAGTGAATTTGTAGAATAGTGGTTGCACTGAACATCACCGTCTTAGTAAAAGGCAGGGGATCGTATTTCCTTTCATTGAGCCTAAATCCAAGCGTGCAAATATTTATTAGCCATTAGTAGCCGAACTCCAAGCTATAGAAACGTAATTTTATCGCTAAAATTCTCTTCGCCTCGGTCGGTCCAAAGGTTGAAATCGTGAGTATCAGTGTCTTTATACTCGTGTATAATGCCATCTACAAGTTATATTCAACTGCTCTATCCATGGCCGTAAGGCCGTAACAATGAAATAGGCGACAGTTTTGTGTGTCACATTTTAAGGTAAATGTTTATCAGGACAACACTTGTGCGCTGTATTTACATAACATGTAGAGTGTGACGTACTACTGATTTCTTTATTTGCAGAGGACAACTGTTCTGTAACCAAAGGTAACGAAACTCTTTGTGGCTGGTATTCCGGATCCGTGCCGAGTACAATGGGGAATATTGTCTCCAAAAAGGGAGCTCGCTCCACCATGCCTTACGAGGAAGACCACGACGGCGAGCAAGATGAAAAAGCAGTCTTTGTCTCAAAAGGAAGAGTTGCACTCTCACCACCTCCAGCCGAAGACGATGAACAAGGGGAAAAGACAGCCAAAAAGCCGCCCGAAGATTTGGAGAAACGAGAGTTCACGTCAGATCTCGCGAGACTTAGAAAAGAGATGGCGACTTTGCACAGCATGACGGACTTCACGACATCTGAATCCACCGAACCTCTGACATTTCTGTTCGACATCTACAAATTTCACAAAGACAAAGCAAGATTCATAGGAGAAGAACTAAACAGACTCGACCTAGCGGGACTCTTCTGTAAAGCGTGGAAATCACTGCACGAAGTTGACCCTTTGAGAGAAGAAGTATCAAAGACCAATCTAAAGAAACTGAAGGGCTGTTTGTGGAATTTTACCGACCAGACGCCAGCTCTGTGCGAAGCGTTAGGGAAAACGGAAGCGTTTGAACTTCTTCTGTCAGACCTGAAAAATCCGGAACTTGACGTGGACAGTCTCAAATCTCATGATAAGAGATACCTCATGAAGGGCAACTTGGGTATTCTACTCAACTCAGTACGTCTGTGTACAGACAACAAGGCCGTATGTAGAGAGGCAAACGCGGTGGAACTTCTCACTAAATATCTGAGTTCCAAATATTACATCATCAAGACAAAGGCTATCCTGACGCTGGCATATATCGTCAACGATGACGAAAACGACAAACTCAATGCCTCAGTCGAAAATATCCGGTAAGATAACAGATTTATTTATTCATTCATTCATCCATTTACTTACTTATTTATTTACTGATTTTTGTAAATAGTGGGGGTAGTTACATTGAAGTCTATGGGCATAGGCATAGATTTATAACTACAGTTTCAGTTTCAGTTTCAGTTTTATTGCAGTCAACTTGCCTGTACACATAAATTTGTGCCATGAAATACGTTGACAGTTACATCAAAATGCAGTAAAAACACTGGGCTCTCAGGAACACGATTTAAAACGGTACATTATTATATTAAAAACGGACATTGTTGTACATATATAAAAACAGCTAAAAAGCGAACAAATATAAACAGCAAGTACAATGTATATCAGTTCTCATCGCTTAGCTCATGTTGTACAGCTTAATGGCTCTGGGGAAGAATGACTGTTCATGTCTCTTAGTACGGCTATGTGAAGTCATGACATGTCTCACTCGTCGGAGGTCATAGCCACTATGCAGTGGACAGGATATAAAACAGTTCAGTGGGTTATCCTTATCATCTAGGATATTCCGGAAGACACGTAGTGTTGCCTGGTCACGCCTGGACGCCAAGGTCGGCAAGGAGTTCGGAGAAATGCCCATTATTCTGCAACAGCGTCTCTGGACTCCTTCGAGAGTGTAAGCCAGACGATTGGGTAGACCCCCCAAACGGGACTGGCGTACTCCAAGATCGGACGAATAAATGACACGTAGATCTGGGTGAGTACATCCGTGGAAAGTCCAGCTTTCCTGGCGGCAGCGAGATAGTAGATTCTGGGTCGCGTCTTAGATAGCATGTACTGAACATGGGCGTCCCATGTAAGGTCCGCAGAGATCTGTACACCAAGAAGCTTGAACGTGACAACCCTTTCGATCTGCTTACCATCTACGGTAGGGTGTGGGGGAACGGGCACATTCTCCTTCCTCCTCGCGCTGACAATCATGTCCTTAGTCTTACCCCCATTTGTTGCCAGTGAGAATGGCACAGACCACTCAGTGATGGCGTCAAGTGCCCTCTGTGTTTGACCGGGAAGCGACCCCATTAAGAATTCAGAGTTAGTTAAATCGTCAGCATACTTGACCGGTAACACAGATGACGGTAAGCAGGTGTCCAACGAGTTAATACAAATGACAAAGAGCAGTGGGGATAGCAGTCCACCCTGAGGCACACCTGCCAAAACATCATGTGGTTTAGACAGACAGGATCCCCATTTGACCCGTTGGGACCTGCCCTCCAGGTAACTGCGTACGGATAACCACAGATCCCGCCTCACACCGAAATCTGCCAGGGTTAGGAGTAGTTGACCGTGATTTATGGTATCGAATGCCCGGCTAAAGTCAACAAAAACCGCGTGGATGTCTAACTTGGGATTGCTGTTAAGTGCCTCATGCCAGCTTTGAAGGATGTGAATCAAAGCTGTAACAGTGGACCGCTTTGGTAGGAAACCGTGTTGTGACTGTAGCAGAGTGCTCGCGGTGTCTTGTAAGAGTAAGTCACGCAAAAGACCCTCGTACACCTTGCCTACACAGCTGACCACAGATATCTGCCGGTAATCCGTGGGAAAGTTCGGTCTTGGCTTCTTAGGAACGGCTGAGACAAGTGCTTGCTTCCACTGCAGTGGAAAGGTGCAATGTTGCACACAAGAGTTAAACACTTCACACAGGACAGGTGCCAGTTCCTCGTGGAATAGCTTTAGCACCCACGGAGGAATGTTGTCTGGACCCGCAGCTTTCCGCCCGTTCACTGTTCTCAGTCTAGACTTGATCAGACCGATACTGAAGGAAGGTAGAGTATTATGCGACAACTTGTCAGATACGTCCTGGTCTGTAGGTACAATACGGTCCACCTGGTTCCACACAGAAGCAAAGTGATCAGAGAGTGAGTTACATTGACGTTGCAAGGAATGAAGATCGGAAGACTCGGTATTCCTTTTAGTGTCCCCCATTCCTATGAGATTTTTGACAGACCTGTACCACTGCCCCGAGCTGGAGTGCTTCAACTGGTCCACCTCATTCTGATAATACCAGCGCTTTGCATTCTTAATCAGCTTGGCTACAGTAGAACGAAGTTTGGCGTACAAGGCTGTGTTGCCCGAGCGGAATGAGTCCTGCCTCTCCATAATGTGCTGTTTTATGTTATTAGTCATCCACGGTTTATCGTTCTTGGTGACCCTGGATTTCTTCTTGGGCACAGTCCTGTCTAACATCTCTTCCAAAAGTGAAGAGAGGACAGCGACCTTCCTCTGTGGATTAGGTGCGTCGAACACAGGAGTAAAGTCAGTTGTATTCATGAGCAGCCCTAATCGCCTCATCCCATCAGGAGTGCAGCGTCTCCGAATGATGTATTGTGGCGGAGTAGCAGGCCAAGGCCCCGCCGACAACAGAACAGTTTGATGGTCTGAAGTGCCGATCGGCGGTAGATGGACAGGAGGTAAGTACAGGCCTTGTACGTTGGTAAGTATGGAGTCCAGCTGACTGTGACCCCTAGTTGCACGGTTGACAACTTGCTTCAGTCCATACCTGGCACATAAGGACTGGGAGTTGTACTTGTTGGTGTCGCCCAGAATGATTATGCCAGGGTGTAAGTAGTCCCTCTCGATCTGTACAAGACAACGACCGAGGTAGTCATTAACTTCGTCATCACTTTTGTAAGTAGTGGATGACTTTGGAGGATTGTAGAATGCAGCGATGATCAGACAGTTCAGACCACGGGGGAGTCGAGCCGGTCTGACCCAGAGCCAGAGCGCTTCATGTTCGTCACTCTCAAGGTCAGAAAGTCTTTTGTGACGAAGTTCGGGAGAAATGTACAGGGCAACTCCTCCCCCAGAGCGCGAGACTCGATCACGTCTGTGGACAGCATAATCCGGAAATGAGACTAGGGAATCAGGAATATCGCTGTTAAGCCACGTTTCGGTCACAGCAACAATGTTGACTTTGTTAGCCAGACTAACGGCATGGAGTTCATCAGTCTTGTGACGGAGCGAGCGAACATTAGCAAGAAGGAGAGCAGGAAGACTCACCACACGTTTCGGCGAACGGATGAGAGGAATGCGTGTCAGAACCCGGTTAGTAGGGCCTCTTGTACACACATCCCGATTGTCCAGCACATGAAGGAATGTTCCTAATTTGCATGTGTGTAGCGGTACATGACCTGGCTCCGACATGGGCGACTTGCAATTGAATAATAATGGCCTGTTACCTACAACCGTAGGAATGTCACGTTGAAAAAGTCTGCCTCCCCTCTTTCCTCTCGCTCTGGTCCGTAGCCTCCATACACCGAGACTGAGAAGGTGCTCCTTAAGATGAGGGTCGGATGGTGCAGCCACTCGCTTTAGCCCACGCAGGAAGTCCATGGAATAGTGAAACAGTGTCCGTGACCAGGTAGCCATGATTGGCGTAGACTCCACAAAACTCAACAAAAGGACGATGAGAACACGTCAGAGAAAGTCCAAATTTGTGTACAACCAGCCTACAGCATTTCATAGAGTCTTCCCACCTACTAAGATTCACCAAATTAAGAACTGACACAGTTAAAACTGAAGAAATTACGAGAAACAACGAGAGCCACAAAATGTGCGGCTGCCATTAAGGCGCCACCTAGCGAATTCATTGTGATACAGAAACGCCATACATAAATCTATAGGAGGGCTCTGATGTAGAGGAACATGTGTGACAATGACTTTAAACTTGTAACAGATTTAATATGCTTATGTTTTAGTCAAACATAGGTCTTGGTTTCTCTTAAGTTCTTAACTTTTTTGCTATTGACTACCCACATGGTTATTGGGCCAAATGCACTACAGTGTATTATATTTCTATTCGATTTTTATATTGTATATGTATACGTTTGCAAAGATGTGCCTTGTGTTAACTGAGAGCATGGGACATGTCACTTTGTACAATAACGTATTCATCCATCCATCCATCCATCCATCCATCCATCCATCCATCCATCCATCCATCCATCCATCCATCCATCCATCCATCCATCCATCCATCCATCCATCCATCCATCCATCCATCCATCCATCCATCCATCCATCCATCCATCCATCCATCCATCCATTCGGCAGGTTCATCCTGAAGTTACTGCGGGCGGCCCTGGAGCAGCCTGATCACCGGGCCAAGACGTACAACTTCTCGGCGTCGGAGCTCGTCAGCGGCCTGAACGAACTCGCGAGCAACGACGGCAATAAGGTAAACAATCACGGCCTTACATGTCATGGATTAACATCGTCCTAGATCCTAAATGCCTTCTGACGAACCTAGAACACTTTCCATTCTGACGAACCTAGAACACTAGAACACATAGAACTGGAAGTTGGACCGTGTACCATGTAGAGTTTTAACCTATTTTACTAACTGACTCTGTGACTATTTTTCACGACAACACTTCATAACAAACATAGAGATAAAGTCAGACAGACATTTGTTGCAAAATACATGTAAATGCCAAGGCCGACATTGACCAAATTAGAACAAGTCAATCCATATCTAAACTATTACTAGACTGACTTGAACTGCCAAAGAAAAACAGATCTCACAACGTTGTCACATATGCATTTTGACAAGAATCTACCGACAGAAAAATTTATTTTAGATTTAGTTATTCTTCGATTTTTATTTCTGCAGGTGAAAATCGTGGAAGAAGGAGGCCTGACTCTTCTGTACCAGCTTCTGTTGGACGGCAGCAGTCTGGAGGAGAACATACTCGCCGCGAAGGGACTGTGGATTCTCGCTTTTAACAAGAGCAACAAAGAAGCCATCAAGAAGACAGGCTGCGTTGAAGGTACCTAGACGTAGACGTACTCGTATATGAATGGAAGCATACCAAAGTTGTATCTGTTTGAATAGAGTACCTTCAAGTGAAATTCTATTTAAATGTCTTTATATAATTGTATGACTATATTGGGAGCAGGATACTGGAGTTTTCTTTTACACAACCGAGGTTTTGTCACCTAAATGTTTACGCTTACGCTCCTCAGAGCTTCTGACTGGAGTTCTGCTTCTCGCCGCTGTATGTAGCCGATATAGGTGGCGCTTTTGCGGCTAGAACACAATTATTATTCCAAACGTGGCTGAGTTTGTAGTTCCCTGATAATGTTGTTATTTATCGTTGATTTATTTCACAGCACTGAAGGCGCTACAGCGCAAGACTACAGATAAAGAACTGAAAGAGGTTTGCGCCGGTGCATTGTGGGAAATCAACGGTGGCGGCCATGACAGGTCTCTGACCAAGACCACAGCAGAAGGTGGTCACGTGATGATCAGCTACCAATGGGATGTTCAGCCGAAGGCCCTGGTGGTGAAAGAGAACCTGACGAAGGCTGGCTACAGAGTTTGGATGGACGTGGAACAGATGGGTAAGGAATGTGCTTCTGCGTGTATCTAAACTATATTTATTATGTTTACCGAAGGAAGACATGTTGTTTTTGCTCTGTTTCTTCCTCTTCCTCTTCTTCTTCCGTTCCAAACAAATAAGGTCAATGACCAGGACCAGACGTCTGTCACCATGGTAACTACTGTTGGGTTACATCATGTTGCAATTTTATAGCAGGAGGGATTTAGACTCCTCTCATCATATGATGTTTTTAGTAAGAATTAACAGAGACAATATGCGAAGGTAAACATTATGCATTTGCTTTGCAAATGTTACGATTCTAGTTTTTCTGTTTATTTTAGCTCAGTGCCTTCACTGACCAGCCAGAAAACACATTTTCTTACAATTTGAGCTGACTTCTCCCGAATGTACTTTCAGGTGGAGATATCCTGGAGGCCATGGCGGAGGCGGTAGAGGGCGCTGCAGTTGTGTTGATCTGCATGACTGAGAAATACAAGGATAGTCCGAACTGTCGGACAGGTAAGGGCCCAGTCACATACATCGTACAGTCGTCGTACGGTCGTCGTATGGTCAAAAATTTTTTTTATTATTTAGATAGTCATGTATGTACCCTGCGAAATTAGGCTGCCGTGTTACGGAAAGGGCTGCCTTTCAAATCAGATCCTTGCCGGTGGTTGATTCTGTTACAGCAATACGCTCATTGGTTATAGCCAGTTTGAAAATTATATGACGTATCAAAATCTTACGACCACCTACGACATATGTGAGACAATACACAGACAACACACAGCTTATGATTTAGTACATATCATAAATCATATTTATATCATATTAAAACATATTTGCAACACGTTGTGTCATTTCTTACACGCCAAGTTTTGACAGAGGATGCTTGTGTGTAATTCCGAACTACTTTACAGAGGCGGAGTACACCCACAAGCTGCGGAAAGATATCGTTCCGCTGCGTCTGCAGCCGCGGTACGACCCGGACGGGTGGCTCGGGGCTCTGGTCGGGATGAAACTCTACTTCGACCTCAGTACCGAGGACAGGATGAACGAGAACATGGACGGCTTCATCAAGGAACTTGGCGATCGAGGAAGAGGGGAACGAGGTCAGTATTCCAAACAAAAGCGTCGGGGGAAATTTATATTTGGTCAGGGAATATAACAGTTTTTAAACTATGTAACAATCAAAAAGTGACTACCCTTTTCTTTTGTTTTCGTTGTTTCTAGAATACCAGTCACCATCCATTCTGATCACTGTGCGCATCCGGTTGTTCTTGTATTTGTGTCAGCTAGGGAAATGTTTCTTTGGTCAGAGAAGATTGCAGTTCTATTCTTCGTACGAAAAAAATCATCAGTGGTCGACGCTTCTCTTTGTCAAAGACTTTGTTGAGTCTTTTATATATGTCTCATATATCCTGTGTTTGAATCTTGATCTTTGCAGATTCTACAGACGCAGGTTTTAGCCCTGTTGTACGACACATTGCAGAGGTGCAAGGGACAGCAAAATCCAGCAGCGTTGCATCATGGTCCAAGGATGACGTCACAAAATGGCTCACCGACATAGGTATGGACAGCTATCACGAGATTTTCCGAGACTACGATGGACAGATGATTGTACAGCTTAGAAAGCTATCAGTGAGAGCGCCAGAGTTCTATTACAGCTCATTGAAATCAGATCTTGGGTTGAAGGACCTTAGCAGTGTTTTAAAATTTACTTCGGAGCTGGAGCGCCTCTCATGAATGAGACATAGGAATGTTAACGAAAATTGAGCAAGTCACACGTCAGTCTTCCTTCAGTCAAAGATAAGTATATGATGTAACCAAATATCAATATTCATCTGCCAAGTCATACAACCAACACCTAGAAAGTAAAGAATAAAGTGCTGAAAAAGATGTGCAATGCAGCGGGCAATGCACTCCTGTATATCCAAACTGTGCATCCATGGGCATGCTGCATTATAAAGATATATCAAACACAATTTTCCTCAAAAGAGTGCATGTATGTAACTTGGTGGAGAAATGTTAGTGAGGGTTATCATTGCGTGTCAAATTGGATATTCACAAGAATGCTCCATGATTCAAGTACAACGTCACAACGCCAATGTCAGACATACGCCTAGAAAATGTTATTAGACTTTTCCATCATTAAGAAGAAACAGGGTTACCAGTAAAAAACGTATTTTGAATTTCTTTAAACCTTTAAGATTTAATAAGACTCCGTGTTCAATTGATGAATAGAGTAAAGCAACTTAGCTGTGTCACAGAATTGAATATAGCCTTGCAGGAAGTGAGAAAAGAATATCTACAAGAAATGGATGACTATTGTCTATTAATACTCTATGTGCAATATTCGTGTTACTAGTAATTGTGCAATATGTATCGTATTATTGTGTATTACGTAGCGTTATACTAGCTCAGTGAAATAAATTATGTTACCTTCGTAGAAGAAAAACATACTGTTTTTTGCTTCGTTTCTTCCTCTTCTCCAATTAAAAAGGTTAAACTAGAGTTCCACGAGCTTACATCTTAGCCAAATAATCTTAACGTTTATGATTGACGAATTATAAATGTTTCATTGTCTCAATCTTGCAAATAAGATCATCATTATGTGTTATATCAGTTGCTTATACTCCACCCAATTACAGTCTTATTTCATAACCATAGCATGTCCAGATCACGACAGATCAAAACCGAAAGTTCCGCTGCAGTACAATATCAAGCCACCAGGGGGCCCAAAATCTAATCATTTTGATTAGATACCCACCTACTAAATATCAAATAATCCATCTAACCCTTCTCGAGTTGTGCTGTTGACAAACAGACACACAAACACACCCAGCCACGAAAAGATAACCTTCTTTGCGAGTTCGGTAAATGTGATGTCAAACTTCTCTCTTACACCACTACTTTTGTAACAAAGGATGTTGTTTCTCTACTATGTGGTTTCAACTCAGTATATAGATAAGATAAGTGACTAAAATATATATATTGACTTTGACAAATCAGGTTTCCAAGGCCTAAAATTGCATTGGATGCCTTTAACATTGGAACTCTGGGGTATGCAGTAAGGCTGAAATCTACTTGCTCAGAAATATCCAGGATGTGCTGTTACGAGCAATAATTCGTTCATCATGTCGAGATAAAGCTTGAATTATTCTTTGTTGACCCGCAGCTGAACTGACCTTCAATGCCCTGCTGCATGTAGAAACCAGATGTGTCTGATTATTTTCTGGCAACAACATTTGCTAGTGGTAGTTAAGATTAGTTGGTTTTCCTCGAAGTTGCACCGCGTTTCCTGCAAATACAGACTTCATCGTGTGTGTCAGTGTTAATAAATTGCAAGCAGGAACAGAAAAGCACCAACAGGTGGTGATCAAAACAGCTCATGCTAGATGCAAGGGTCTGCAAAGGGTTTGTCGAAGTGCACACACAAAGAAACATTACATTTTTGTAACCTGTAGATGGTGTGTAGAAATCATACGAACATGGCCTTGCTAACACTATACAAGCAAACATCAATCGTTTTATTTAGTGTATCATTGTTTAGTCATTATCCGGGTTACATCAAACATCATCAAACATCTGACATATCGCCATTCACGCCCTCCTTTTGCCATACACGACATAATACATCTGTGCAAGCGTTAAGAACTTGAAGTGAACAACATCGCCATGTTGCGCCCATTTGGAACAGCAAACCTGGTCGTTGCGGTGTTTTTTCTTTCCTTCAACAATGTTTTCTACCCTGTGAGTGGGGAAGAAGAAGAGGGAGCATGCCCAAAGAACCCGTGTGTAATCAAGGTCATTGCTGCACCAGGGCCCCCGTGACCTCCAGTTAGGTGATTTAATCTGCATTGCGTTTGCCCTGGGACCCAGAATAGTATCGGGCCTTAGCAGTAGGTTAGATAGGCGGACGTGGTGCTTTTTGCTACCGAAGGAAACCGGCTAACAGCCCGATACGAGTCTGGCTGCCAGGGTAATTTAGCTAATACTTCAGGTGGGAAGCTAAACTCCAGGACGCAAGGTACCCCAGAGATATTTTATGTGTTGTCTGAGAACGTACTTTTGTAATATTTACTCTACTTGCTACCAACTGTTACGTCAGACTTTTGGCACGTAGAGAGTATACAATTCCAGGACCCTATACCTGGCTGAGGTATCATAGATTTAAACGTTAATATGTGATGTGATGTCTCAGGCCAAGTGAATTCGCTTAGATGATATGACTATTTTCCTGACTCGGTGTTTTTCTGTGTAGGCCCTCCAGGTCCGGTAGGTGATGGCGGGGGTACAGTGTCCGTCGGACCGCCGGGGCCTCCAGGACGGCCGGGGCCTCCGGGCTTACCTGGGAGCCGAGGACAGCCCGGTAAGGTTGGCTAAAATACAGTATACTGTACATATTGTACGAAAAACTGCCTATAGACCCCCATCCATATCCAAGCGTATAATGTTCTGGACATACCGATAAAGATATCACAATCACGTGTATCGTTCCTTACTTTGCCCTTTAGAATTTAGTTTTATATCATTGTAATATTCAGAGGCTCGTGATATCCATTTACGCTGAAAGTTTTTTCGAAATGCTTAGTAACATTTTGCTTACTCAATTTGTTTTCTCCTTGTACCCTTGAAGGTCCCAAATGCAAACCTGGCTGTATTCCAGACATGCTTGGGCCAAGGAACGGGCCACGTGGGCTGCCTGGACCGTCTGGAGTGCCAGTGGGTACTGTAAACACGTGTACTGTAAACGCGTGTACTGTAAACGCGTGTACTGTAAACGCGTATACTGTAAACGCGTGTACTGTAAACGCGTGTACTGTAAACGCGTGTACTGTAAACGCGTGTACTGTAAACGCGTGTACTGTAAACGCGTGTACTGTAAACGCGTGTACTGTAAACGCGTGTGCTGTAAACGCGTTTACTGTTAATGCGTGTACTGTAAACTGTAAACGCGTGTACTGTAAACGCGTGTACTGTAAACGCGTGTACTGTAAACGCGTGTACTGTAAACGCGTGTACTGTAAACGCGTGTACTGTAAACGCGTGTACTGTAAACGCGTGTACTGTAAACGCGTGTACTGTAAACGCGTGTACTGTAAACTGTAAACGCGTGTACTGTAAACGCGTGTACTGTAAACGCGTGTACTGTAAACGCGTGTACTGTAAACGCGTGTACTGTAAACGCGTGAACTGTAAACGCGTGTACTGTAAACGCGTGTACTGTAAACGCGTGTACTGTAAACGCGTGTACTGTAAACGCGTGTACTGTAAACGCGTGTACTGTAAACGCGTGTACTGTAAACGCATGTACTGTAAACGCGTGTACTGTAAACGCGGGTACTGTAAACGCGTGTACTGTAAACGCGTGTACTGTAAACGCGTGTACTGTAAACGCGTGTACTGTAAACGCGTGTACTGTAAACGCGTGTACTGTAAACGCGTGTACTGTAAACGCGTGTACTGTAAACGCGTGTACTGTAAACGCGGGTACTGTAAACTGTAAACGCGTGTACTGTAAACGCGTGTACTGTTAACGCTTGGATATCCTGGGCTGCCTGGATCTCCTGGAGAGCCTGGACAGAGAGGCCTGCCTGGACCCAGCCCTCCCGCTGTGGCGTTTTTTGTGGCTCTAAGCTCCGGCACAGACGTCCTTGCACCCGTGCTGGCATACGATGTCATCCACACCAACGTGGGCGGAGGGTACGACAGGGAGACCGGGAAGTTCCTGGCTACGACGCGTGGCGTGTACACCTTCACATTTACGGCAAGGAAGAGCGCAGCGACCGACTCCCGGTGCACCGTTTCGCTGGTGAAGAACGGGGTGAAGATCGTGTCTTTGACCGCGCAGGGCGGGCAGACCCAGGCAAGCAGCAGCGCCGTCTTACTCCTGAGGCGTACGGACCAGGTGTGGATAATGCTCTCCGACGGGTACCTAGAGAGCGATGCCAGCGGAGAAGCCACCTTCTCTGGAGTACTGAATGCTTTGGAAGACGAGTAGACGATATTGAAAGTGTTTTACCGTCGTCGAGAAGGTTATGTGTTAGGTACACCATATATAATAGCGATTTTAACCGGTTATAACTTAGGCTTTGGTACATATATCTTTACTATATTTGGTAGGCAGGTTGGGGTTGGGATGACAAAGTTCAAGGTCAATTATAGGTAATCTAGCGACTTTATCATTCGTTTTCTTGGAGCTGTTCTGAAGAGAAAGGGCACCTGTCTTAAACATTTACACTATAGGTTGTAGACTGGCCCTTATCTGCTGAACGATTGAAATGTAATCAAACTTAGCAGTTAGAGGTTATGAATAACAACGAGATGGTAGAGTACAATACTCCCACCTCTAGATTATTACTCTCCATGCACGTCTGCTTATACTTTTATTATTATTTACTGGTAACAACTTAATGTAAAACTGACTACAGGAACAACCAATCCATATACGAAGTTCAACCGTGAATTATGATATACTATACTATACCGTACTATACTATACTATACTATACTATACTATACTATACTATACTATACTATGCTATACTATAACATTTTATCATTATCGTTCAACTAGACTCACTCAGTCGAGTTTATAAACATCAGTTTTATTTTCCAGGTAGTTCAACATTATTTCTAACATCGCAGTGTTAATACCTTAGAACTTTCAATCTATTCAGTTCAGCGAAAAATATGATATCCTGTGACAGTATTTACAAACAAGAGACTACAACCGCATCACATAATAATATATATCTATATCTGTCTATATCTATCCATCTATCTATTTTAATATCTATCTTTTTATCTATCTATCTCTCTCTCTCTCTGACGTATCTGGACTTCTAAAACGTATAGATAATACTGACGGTGGTTTATACATCAATCAATTAATTGTACCGATATCTTTATGCAACTTCGTACAAGAATCATAACACATGTCACGGGATGTTTTGATTAAGGAGCAAAGGGATCTGTCTCTCCGCCTTCCATACGGGTGAGCAGGTCGCAAACATGCTGCTCCCACTGACAGTCATCCTCGGCGTGGTACGACAGGCCTGGTACACAGGGACAAGGAAAGAGAAAAAAGAAACATTATTTTCACAACTTACTGAATCTGATTGGTACTCTGATCTGTATCAAGTGAAATGTTGGTGGATGTGTGGAGCAACTATTTTTAGGATGTTTGTATCATTGACTAAGTGTCACGGTTCCGGTATTATCTAACTCTAACCGCCAAGCCACGCCCCGACCTTCTTCCAATCACCAGTCAATCATCCGCCAACCAGGGCCGAACCTCGGCGGTCAACCGTAATGTTTTAAACATTGTGAAAGTGATTCGGCAGTCTAAAGTAGGCGACCTGGCCGAACACTACCCAACCACAGCCGACCTTGCTCCTGACCATGGTTGGGGAGGGGGGCAGTGGTGACTAGCGTTTTTTTTTAAATATTATTCCAACATGTAATCACACAGACGTGGTGACGACACACTCAAGTTTTTTCAACTTATATTAATGCCGCCACCAACACAGGGGACAAATACATGACAGGACAATGCTCATTTACACCTGAGCTAAGTGAGGAAAGTCGTGTTAAGTGCCTTAATTTCCCAAGGGCACAAGATCGGTGGCATGTCAGGACTCGAACCCGGGACTCTAATATAAGTTCCGAGTCGCGCACTCTGCCACTACGCCACACGACTAGCATTTGGAAGGTCATATTCGACCGAGTGTGACGAAAGCTTTAGATAAAGGTTGAAAAAAAAGTATGGATGATAACTCACCAGCAGGCTGGACGGAGCCAGCAAACAGGGGTGAGAAGTCGGAGAATGAATCGGGCTGACAGCCGAAGAAGTCCTGGGCAGCTGCCTTGGGGTAACCTGGTAAGACGGTGATGGTACGCTCAGCCATCTTGTAGAAGTCTTGCCCCTTGAAGAAGTAGGCATACCCTGCGCAACGAAGAAGAAAAATAAAATAAAGTCAATCAATCAGTCATACCAATCTTTTTCTAATCCACTTTAAATATAGAAAAGTGCATTTAAAGAACAGTAACGTTACTTGTATGCACAGTAGTTGTATGCTTCGGACTCTAGCCACTTCAGTGGTTTCTCAATTTTTTTCTGTTGCGCATTTTTTTTGCATAATCTTACAGAAAAGTTGAGGATGAGAATTTGATTTGATCCGTGAAGATTAGTTGTACTCTGTAATTGTGTTAAAGAAAACGTTTTATTGTACGTCTATCAGGAAAAATTGGTAACCTGTACTGGTACGGAAGCACCACCTACCGTCATCAAGTTGAACTGCAGCGTCGACGCCGTCTGACGGAAGACCCCTCCAGATGTTCAATGCTCTCGGGTAGTTAGGATCCACCCGACCTTCTCTCTCGTTATAACGCCAATACTTGTTTCCCTGTAATGGCCAGATTATCAGTTCCATGAATTCATATTTTGAATTTGTTGATTTTTACCACATACTTGTGTATGACGTGTATCTATGGGCATTCAAATTAAAATTCTTACCCTGAAAAAGTAGGTCTTCCCGTTGCTTCTCCATGGCAAGACGGCGTCTAAGTTGCTGGGCAGACCGAGGTCGGAGATTTGGTGGGGACCGCTCTCCAGATTGTTAGCGTCAAACACCCAGTAACGGTGGCCTAGATGTACCGAGGAAGCAAAGTCTAACGTAAGTCTACTTCTCTCGGTTTTGTGAGAAACGATATATTTATTCCTCCTACGTAAACAAAAAGTCTTGTGTTTATGAACAGCCAAACAGACGTTTTGACAACTTTTATAACACCTCACAGTCTACAACAACAATTCACGGTGTCTGTACTGCTGACAAGACCCACCTTTAAAGATGAGGATCTTGTAGTCAGGCCGTTCGTAGATGCCGTCGATGTGGTCCAGGGTTTCAGGCAGACCGTTCCAGAAGCTGCTAGTGAGCCATGGGCCGGACACACGGTCACGCACACGCCAGAAGTACCTGTTGATACGGAGAAAACAAACATGTCAGGTCTCGAAATGAACAAATTTGTACTGTTAGAACTTATGACATTTATTACGCATTTTTATCATTATGAATTGCAAGTGATTCCCTTTGCTTTTAAGTTCTGATTCTTCTTTTTTTTTGTATGCGGACATCTCTGTGTCTTTGAGGAAATGTATAGTCGTCTCTTGTACTTACTTCCCCTTGAAGACCCAGGTTTCTCCCCTGATGCGTGCAATGGTGTCGATGTCTGTGTTGCAGATGTCGGGTTTGCCGCTGGGCGGGATGGGGTTACCGCCACCTCCGCTAGGTGGTGGTGTTGGGGCCGGCGTCGGTTCGCTGTCACCTGGGTTTGATCCTGCGAAGGGGATCGGGACAAGGTGTGTTTAGAACCTGGTGTTTTTAGCGTTAAAACTCACAACAAGAGAGATAAGGGGTGCAAACAAGGCAATCAGCGATGGCAGACTTCATCTACTAAGAAGAAGCTCAGCACTCAGGTAAGGATATACAGAAATAAAATTACAAACACACACACACAGGGGAGGGGGGCAAGCAGACATAGCACAGCAATACTTCATCATTTGCCGGTGAAATAATAACTTCACTCAGTGACCCTTTTTTGTCACAACTGCATATATTTTAATGCACCTACACATTAAAAGATCGATCTTTCATTCAAACGTAGTAACTCAAAGAGAGAAGTCTAACCGTAGATTGTTTGGATGCCGAGAATGTCGTCATAGTCGAGCTGGAAGTTCTCGACGTAGCCCTGGTAGAACGGGTACATGAGCGCGTCTAGGACCTGGGAGTGCTCCAGCCCCAGACTGTGGCCGAACTCGTGAGCTGCCACGATAAACAGGTTCGTACCTGCGGAGACAAAGGTTCAAGTTCAAGACGTGTTTTTTTTTCATTTGTCGTGCGATTCTCAAGTCGTGTTGTTTGGTCGCACGAGCGTCGTCGATGATCAACGACAAGACGGCTGGATTTTGTACATCTACGACAGTTCCAGGCTAAGTAAGTATATGCCCTGAACTTTATATCATATCGTTCAACCATTCGTTCCTACTAATTCATTTCTTGCTATCCATCTATTCAATGACTGTCACCTTTAATAGATGGACTGCCTTGACTTTTCAATTGAATGCGTCAACAAAACGGTCACTTTGTGCTTACACATGTGCAATATTTTAATTGACTTGTCCTATACAGTAGTTAAAACGCATAAGAGAGTAAATAAGAGCATTTTCAGTCGTTATTACTAGAGAATGTGTCACCCTAGTGTATACAGAACTGTGTAGAATCTTGTTTTATGCCTGAATGGGTTAGGATCAGGCACGGTTCTGGATAGTGCTAGGCATGGTTTTGGGATACTGGACTATGAGAACCGTGCTTGAACATGGGTCTTGATAGATTAAATCTAAAGCGCGGTTCTGGGAACACCAATGTTACCTCGTGCCGTCCTGACTGTCCACTGTTCAGACTCGTCAAAATGAGCGTCTCCGCCGATGCCCGCCCCGGGGAAGTACGCGTGCGCCAGGGTGCCTCCCGGCCCGTCGAAGGGGTTGCCGTCCCCGTGGTCGAAATGGACGAACGAGATCTCGATATCCGACACACCGGTGATCCTCCTGAACCGGAGAGGCGTCACCTGTTCCCATACCTGTCAAAGATAGATACATCAATCAGCATTATTTTTTAACGTTCTTTTTATTCAATTTTTACGGGAAGACAAAAAAGTAAACATAAACAGACATGCATGGCACAGGTACTACATCGAAATAAAATTAGCATTATTTTCTATGTTTTTTATATTCAATTTTCAGAGGAAAACAAAAAAGCAGACATAAACAGACATGCACGACACAGGTACTACGTCAAAATAAATGAACACAAAATACATACAAAGTACGAAAATATGATCACATCAATAATCAATTCAATGTATCAATTAGTATTATTCATACATTATTAATAATATGCGTAGAATATAAAATGATTTCCCTTATTCACTCGCTCACTCATTCATTCCTTTCGAGGATCTCGAGTTTCTAATTTTTGTATTAGTCAATTAATTGATTCGTTCATTCATTTGTTATGACAAGTGCCCACTGGATGTAGTACAAAGGTTGCAGTACCCTGAAAGCCCGGTAGATGGCGTCCTCCACCTCAGCCCTGTCCAGCTGCGGACTGGTGTTGATCAGACGGTAGGTGAGGTCAGTCTTGTCCCACTTCCGACCGGTCAGTCTGAACTCGCCCAGGTCAGCCACACCACACCGGGGCATGGTCATCTGCTGCATGGTCATCTCGTCAAGTGACCCTGGTGACGGACATCACGTGTTATTTATTAGATTCTTGTAACGGTCAAACAATTTATAACAGTTTAATCTTTTAGCTTGTTCTTTTTTTAACGAGATTGACCAGGGCAAGGCCATGCACCACTTTTGGGCAATGAACTAACCGTCACTATTTGAACTATATCTGCCCTACTTATAATGTTTTAAAGTACAACATAAAAGCTTGACAAAGAGCCAAAAAGAAACGCTCACCTGTCATGGGGAGGTGTGCCATTTCTTGGAACAGCATGACGGCGTCTCGGACCATGTTGTCCATCTCGGTGGGGGTCATCTCATTAGCTTTACTCATCTTGTCCTTGTTCAGGTAACCGAACTTCGTCAGGTATTTCTGTTCGAGATAAAAAAAAAACAATAGAGGATATCAGAGGTGGTAGACTTCACCCTTTTACCCAAGCTGCTTCCCGATACTTGCATATACAGTAGACCAAAATAGCAGCACTTATGTGAGGGTCCACTTGTACGAAATTAGATGGAAAAGATATAAAACATATACTTCATATATAATTCGCAGATAATTTTGGCTTAAGCTCACTAAAACAGGCAGTTTAGGGAATGGACATTCAGTTGCAGTGTCATTTACAGCATTAAGGACATTTTGCGGTCATATTTTGCCGCAGGGCATCATGAAGTCGCCAATTTGTCGCTTCCTGATTTCTTCTCGGACGTGAAAATAAAAATCTGCACAGACCAGGACGCAAAGGTGTTACAACAAACGACTATCGGTACAGTTCTTCGTGAAGTAATAGCTTAATCTCGATTGGCCAAGGATTACACGAGAAAACGCAGTAAGTTTGGTCGTTATTAGGATAGGTTTGCGCTGTTTTAAAGGTCTGTCCACAAGAATGCCGGTTGTTAGTTTGGTACACCGGTCGCCCATTGTACTTATTTGCCTTGCGGTTATTTGGCGCGGAAAGGTGTCTAGGATATTGAGCGGAAAAAGAGACAAAAGACAAGCGACGAGCCGTCAACTTCCGAGTAATACTGTAGTCGACATGGTAGTAGGTATACAAGTGCTGTTGAACATGAGCGCTAAAGAATGAACGTCTATAAAGTACTATTTGTGGCATAGAAAGGCCTAGTGGTCTAGTGGATACGACATCAAGAGGTCACGGGTTCGATCCCTGACAGACGCCGTGCCCTTGGGAAAGGCACTTGACACCGCTTTCTTCACTTCACTCAGGTGTAAAATGGAACCTGACTTTGGTTGGGGAGGTAAATACGACGTAAAATGCATGGATGGGCTCCGCTTTCTCTTACCGTGCCCTAGTCGCAATTGTACTAACAACACACGGCCTCAAAAAGGCTATGGGGCTGCCTTAGACATAACATTTCAAAGAATGGAGCAAGTGAAAATGTGCACGTACCGTAGGGTCCATACGCTTGGATGGCCTGGCCATGGTAGCCGCCAGCCCGACGACAAGCATCAAGGCCCGGATCAGCCCGAGATGTCCCATGTCTGCACTTGTCTTGTCTCTTACCTACTGCTCAGTGAAAAGCGGATGCCTGGCTGAAGCCTGCTCTCTGCCGCTTGGCTATTCTGCTGTTCACGCCGACCACCTGCCCTGTTATATAGGCGGCGAAGGCCTTGACGTCACAGGTGTTGACGTCACAGGTTCCGTGGGCGTTTCCTCGGACTTCTCAGGAGAGCATTCAACCGCGGGCGGGAAGGATGCCGTCAGCACACCGACCACACGGAGATAAAAATAGCGGTCCAGCCACTCATCCGTGAAAGGATGTGGTTCAAGTACTTAAAGGTGTAAATGGGGATTAAGTGTAAAAAATCCCATCATGATACATTTAAACTCAAGGAATGTCCACTTTAAGTGTCACAGGGACGAGTCATGCAATGACAACTGTTTATGAGAATCGCACAGGAAAAGTAAGCAAAATACGTCAGATTTACGCAGTAACGCTCTTTTTATTACTTTGTGACTGAGAAAGATTCAACGGCAAAATGAAGATACCGATGTACATGTTTGTAGAGATAGGCGGATATGGCACCGAGCTTCTGGGAACATGGCCGGTTATGTTTGCCGGTTATGTTTGCCTGAGGCACTGTTCCCTTATCAAAAATCTCTCATGTCATTTACAGACCGCACTCCCTCTGATCAGTCTGTACCAGACTAACTACGCTGCGTATATATATATATATATATATATACAGGAGAGTATTTGCCAGGGGAGTTTGGCCGCCTCATAGTTGGACTGGCCGCGGAGGGAAAGAAACTACCTTCCCGCGGCCGGACTCCCTTGGCCAATTTTACTCTCTTTTTTTGCCGAATTCTACGATCCGTATTACCGTAGAAAGGCCTGGTGGAGGCTACCTTCTGATATCCTGTTCATAACTTGTAAATCCACATTTCCTCAAAACATGTTGTTTTCTTACACTTTTACACATTGTGAGTCTTAAAAGACTTACAGTGCGTGGACAGTTGAAAGGAGTTAAACGACTATCGCTTGCTTCGGCAAACCTGTTCGCGACACACTGCCGAATATTCCCTTATATGGAAGTTGTCGTCACCGTGTACGGCCGATCGCGCGTGTATCGCCTCGGGCTTACGTATCTTCACGGTTATCTGATCAGCAAATAAAGCAGCACAATGCCTGCTATTTGCGGATGGTCTGGTCGGCAGGGGTAATGTACAGGTTAAACAAACACACGGACAACTTGTGTCACCGTACGGAGATGTACAACCACTTGTCATGACGTACATACACAGGAAACGCGACGTACGGAGAAACAGGAGACAGATCCCAGGTAGAACATTATGTAATCTCACCAAGAAGACACAAGCAAGTGTATAAACTGACAAGCATTTACCTTATAGATTATGGAAAGAATAAAACAAGAAAGCCTTTTTGGGGTCTTTGGGGTCGTGTGGCGCAACGGCAGAGCATTCGGCTCAGAACCAAAAGGTCCCGGGTTCAAATCCTGCTAAGTCACCAACCTTGTGCCCTTGGGAAAGGCACATTACCCGACTTTCCTCACTTACTTCAGGTGAAAATGAGTATGCAATTAGAATGATCATTATCATGATCATAAAAAAAAACGAAACCCTGTCTTCACTTGAAAATCAAACATTAGAGCACCAGATTTCTGGACAGTTTTTCTTCAGTGTACTTGTAAGACAATTGGTACGCTGTTCAGTTTTGTGCGTATATAGTTTTCTGTGTAGTTACTAGTTACTATATGTATAGCTTCTCTCTCCCTCTGTCAGCCAGACTCAAAAGAATATGGCGCAACAACAGGATGGCACAGTTCCTTCACAAATTGAATGATTTAGATCAAGATTTAGTTCAAGACGACCCACAAGCAAAGATAATCACTCACTCATCCATTCATTCATTCAGTCAATCATTCATTCTTCTATTCTTTAAAATTCACGTTCTTTCGTCCTTTAGCAGGTTCATAAAGGCATGTGGAGAGCCTTCTCAGTGACTGGTGCCCTGGTCAAGCTGAAAGATTACTTTAGACCAGGGTTATCCGTGCAGAGCAAATACACACAGGGTCTCCCCGCTCGTTAACGTAAACGGAGACAATATTGACAGAACTGACCGAACCTCTTCAATGACGCACTCACGTAGACAAAGGACGACCTATAAAAATCGTTAGGATATGAACAACAATGCCTAGGTCTAGATAATGAGTTGATTTTTCGCACCAGCGCGTGCCTACCATTCTAAACAAGTTATTCACCGTGTGAATGTGTTATTTTTGTCACGGTGACTGTGTCATGGGCAGAAAAAAACAGCTTACATCGACCACGTTACGCAAACCCCCAAGCAAACATAATTAGCAGTTTATAAGAGTATCTGCGTAATTGCTTGTTTCCACATTCCAAGTGTCTGCTCAAGATCCGGTAAGTACCAATTATCACCATGCTTAACACAGCCGAAGGTTGGCATAGTGAGAAATAACGTGTACGTGGTGCTGCAAATCTCGACTATTTTGTCAGTACCTGTACATCCATTGTAATCTTTATTCGTAGCTGTACTAGTATAAACCACTTAGAATAAAGAAAAAAAAGCTTAAGATCCGCAACTTTTACCCCAACTGTCATTTAGTTCCGCAAGCGTTATACTTTTAGTTAAAATGTAGGCGCGCCGCTTAAAAACTTAAGAAAAATAAACCCACACAGGAAACACTTAAGTACGTTAACTCACGATAGGAAATGACAAAGCCTGTTTTTCAGTGAAATGTTTTTGTTTTCAAACCCGTCCCTTAAACGGCTCTTGCTCCCGTATTGTTCTGTTGTTGTGAAAGCTTTGTACTTTATCCGGTATGTAAATACGTTATGAGAAACGTTGTACTTGTCGAATTCTGGAGTACCTCGACCACAATTTGATCCTTTACACTCTCAACCGGAAGTGTGAGTAACGTCTTTCCTGTCCTTCTCTGGGTCACGTGACGTGCACAGGTGTACTCAAACTACACTCCTTAAAAAACGCAATATCTTAGTTTTAGTGTTATTATGGATTATCTCTGTTAGAAATATATTTAGTATAGTTCATGTATCTTCCCTTGTTATTTTTTTCTTTGCCATACATTGTATCAGTTACAGTTGTTGAGCAATAAAGTTTATTTGATTTTCTGATGACGTTAGGTAGTTGTTAATAGATTAGAAACAACTCTGGTTCTGTTAGAAATATATTCAGTATGTATCTACCCTTGTTATTTCTTGTTTTTACAGTTGTTGAGCAATAAAGTTGATTTGATGTGATTTTCTGATGACGTTGTCAGTGGATTTGAATCAACTCTGGCTACCCCCTAATTAACTGAAAAGGTGTACCATGTGAGGTCACATGCGGTCATTTGCAAGGATTTTTTTTCAAATATGGCCGCAGTGATTTTCAATTACGGCTCGGTCCTTAAGTGCACACACACACATACACACACGCGCCCTCGCGCCGTTACATACATACATACATTTAACGTTACATACATACATACATATACACGAGCGACATACATATACGCGCGCGGACAAAATAGGTACAATGTGCTATTCGTAGCCTATAGCGTATCAGCTGTGAAAGGTCATTACCAGTCTTGAATACTTGGCTTTCTTGTAAGTCTCAGTGTGACAGAACCACTGAGGATCTTTGTATGCAGTTCGTTAGTGGACCTTCAAACTTACTTGGAGCCCTCAACTTATTGAGGTTGTGCACGTACGGGAAAGAAGAAGAAGAAGACTTCAAAGTGTACTGTACAGGCAGAACGTCAACTGCCATTCGTACAAGTCTGACGACGTGGAAACCAAGAGGATGTTTCCTTCCAAACTTCTTGAAATCCAGTGAATGGGACAAGTTCAAATTCCCCAAACGGCGGATATACTCTCTTCCTACGGACTTCTTTGATTCTAAACGACTGTCGGTGTTGTGAAATCCATTTGTTACCAACGCTCGCACCCTCTTTCTTCTGTGAAAAAAAAACTGCATATCATGGTGAAACATTGGCTCTGAGAGCACGTCGGCAGAACGTACTGCACCTGCGCGAAACCCGTAATGTATTGTACATAGCATTTCGGCAGAATGTCTCATATAAGGTTGTATTCGCTCATATAAGGTTAGCATTTCGACAGTAGTTTCCAAATGTTCTGTCGGAAAGAATATCCTCTGCAACAGGCAAAATTCTGATGCAACGTTGACCAAAAACCCAACGAAACTTTTACCCCAACTTTCATTTAGTTCTCAAGCGTTATACTTTTAGTTAAAATGTAGGCGCGCCGCTTAAAAACTTAAGAAAAATAAACACACACAGGAAACACTTAAGTACGTTAACTCACGTTAGGAAATGACAAAGCCTTTTTTCAGTGAAATATTTTTGTTTTCAAACCCGTCCCTTAAACGGCTCTTGCTCCCGTGTTGTTCTGTTGTTGTGAAAGCTTTGTACTTTATCCGGTATGTAAATACGTTATGAGAAACGTTGTACTTGTCGAATTCTGGAGTACCTCGACCACAATTTGATCCTTTACACGCTCAACCGGAAGTGTGAGTAACGTCTTTCCTGTCCTTCCCTGGGTCACGTGACGTGCACAGGTGTACTCACTCAAACTACACTTCTTAAGAAAACGCAATAGCTTAGCTTTAGTTTTATTATGGATTCGCTCTGTTAGAAATATATCTAGTATAGTTCATGTATCTACCCTTGTTATTTTTTCTTTGCCATACATTGTACCAGTTACAGTTGTTGAGCAATAAAGTTTATTTGATTTTCTGATGACGTTAGGTAGTTGTATTTAATAGATTAGAAACAACTCTGGTTCTGTTAGAAATATATTTAGTATGTATCTACCCTTGTTTTTTCTTGTTATTACAGTTGTTGAGCAATAAAGTTGTTTTGATTTGATTTTCTGATGATGTTGTCAGTAGATTTGAATCAACTCTGGTTCCCCCCTAATCACCTGAAAAGGTGTACCATGTGAGGTCACATGCGGTCATTTGCAGGGATTTTTTTTTTAAATATGGCAGTGATTTTCAATTGCGGCACGGTCCTAAAGTGTACCCAAGTACACACACACACACACACACACACACACACACACACACACACACACACACACACACACACACACACACACACACACACACACACACACACACATACCACGCGCACACGTACCGTGACACACGCCACACATACACACGCGCGCATCGTACATACATACATGTACATACATACATACATACATATACACGCGCGGACAAAATAGGTACAATGTGATATTCATAGCCTATAGCGTATCAGCTGTGACAGGTCATTACCAGTTTTAAATACTTGGCTTTCTGGTAAGTCTCAGTGTGACCGAACCATTGAGGACCTCTGTATGCAGTTCGTCGGTATACAGAAAGTTCCCTTCACACTCACTTCAAAGTGTACTGTACAGGCAGAACGTCAACTGCCATTCGTACAAGTCTGACGACGTGGAAACCAAGAGGATGTTTCCTTCCAAACTTCTTGAAATCCAGTGAATGGGACAAGTTCAAATTCCCCAAACGGCGGATATACTCTCTTCCTACGGACTTCTTTGATTCTAAACGACTGTCGGTGTTGTGAAATCCATTTGTTACCAACGCTCGCACCCTCTTTCTTCTGTGAAAAAAAACTGCATATCATGGTGAAACATCGGCTCTGAGAGCACGTCGGCAGAACGTACTGCACCTGCGCGAAACCCGTAATGTATTGTACATAGCATTTCGGCAGAATGTCTCATATAAGGTTGTATTCGCTCATATAAGGTTAGCATTTCGACAGTAGTTTCCAAATGTTCTGTCGGAAAGAATATCCTCTGCAACAGGCAAAATTCTGATGCAACGTTGACCAAAAAACCAACGAAAAACGCGGAAATACGTGGTTCTGCGCAGTCGCAGTACGTTCCGCCGACGTGCTGGCTCTGAGCCCATGTGACTGAAGTGTGTGTTTGGGGTTAACCCCTCAGGAAGTGCAACCTTGTTTAACAACAACAAGACCTCACCGCCGTCGCTCCAGGCTATACATGTTCTACTTAGAAGCTGGGACCACCAGGATTTCTCCCGGATTTCGGAAAATAACAGAGAGATTTTATCAGCTGCCTTTCTCAAAATGTTTCCTAAAAGCCCTGGGCCCCTCCCGGACACCGCTAAAGCGAGGGGCACAACCCGCCGTACGTGTTTTCTTGTCCGTACATTTCTTTGGGAGGCCACGTCCGCTACGTTTTTCTGAAAACGTGGGGAAGGACTAGCATGAGCAGTATGGTCAACACACATCACTCAAACGGTTGCGCAAGGTGTAAGTATGTGGTTTGGATGCCACGTCTGGCCATGAACGGTTGCGTGCATCGTTCGCTGCGCAAGAGCGATTGCCACTTTACCGTATGCAGGCCGTACTTACACGTGCTGCTTACGTACGGTACGTACCGGTACGCGCAGGGCAAAAAGCAACAATAAGCATTACACATTATCACCACAGCAACATTCACCAATGCGACACACAAAATCGACAGTGTCTGATATTTATTATGATGTATTTATGTTTCAGCTTGTAGCGTCATACAACCAAGAACATTTCGCCAACAAGCCTACATGATTGAATACAACGAATGCTTAAAGATTGCAAAGCTTAAAATTAGTAGGGAGGCAAGCTGAGTTCTTTACACAGAACGCCGTCTACACACGTGGCGCATTTATAAGGTTGTACGGTCTTATACTGACAAATATGAAGGGAATCAAAATTGATTATTACGCAAGGGGAACAATATTCGTAGTACGTACACTCATGTATAACGATAACGTTACAAAAATGACCAAATTCACAACATGCATCTTTATACATTTCATTGTTGTAGACTTTCTTGATGATACCGTGTACTACTACAGAGACACAATAATATATCACAGTAATCTAGAAATATATTGCAACATCTTTTCTAAAATGCTGGATCTGCAACAAATCCATTCCACGATATTCCACGATAACAAAACGTTAAGAGGTCTTATTTTTCCACAACAGTACTAGACTCTTAAGTATACAAATTATGAAGTAGATTCGTTATTTCAATGTTGAGATGACAGTCCAATGATAGGCACCGTTCCTTTTCCGTTTGAATGACCTTGAATGACTTTTGACAACCATCGTCGGCTGTATACATTTGTTGCAACTATGGCCACTGAAATGGGGATAACTTCAGTCAGAAACAATTTTATTAATTGTCTTCAAATGTGCAATATATCTGCCTCTCTTCCATCTATCCGTTCTTTTGAGTGTCAAATGAGTTAAACAAAAGAGATGAACTGTCTTAACACCTTGTTTTTGCCGTCTTGTTTTCTTTCAACACGTGTTCAATAGAAATGGCCTGACTGTTAATTTCACGGCGTGTTGTCCTCTCCACTGGAATAGTCAGACGTCTGCGGACTGCTCGACTTCTTCCTAGTCTGGATGGAGACATCTCCCGGGACGAGTGATCTGTGTACTTTCTGGTGCGGCTTTGGAGAAGACGACCGGACGCGAACTGGATGACCCGGGACTCTGGACATGACTTTCACGTGGTGACCGCCAGGGGTCGTTGCCATCAGGACAGGTTGGCCCGGGATGGGCGTGGCTCTGCCATGGCAACACGACACAACCAGGGAGCTGGGGTAGAGCTGTTTGGCCGTCTCCACAAACGCCTGGGCGAGGTCGATGTCTGTCAGGCGCTCCTGTCGATAAAAAGACGACATTAGAAATCTATTCTATCATCATTATACTAGTACATGTATTGGTGATCTCTATTTGTTATTTTGCCATACCCATGCCCACCCTGCAGTACCATACATAGCCGCTAGACTACCCATAATTGACATTGACCTTTGTCATCCCAAACCCAACCTACCTACTAAATGTCATAAAGATACATGTACCACACCCTAAGTTATGACCGGTTAAAATCGCTAACCCCATATAGTCACAGTGTAGCTAGATATAGCTAACACATAACCTTCTTGGTGAAGGTAATAATCTACAAATCTACCTACCAGAACGTAAAGATATCTGGCGGGGTTAGTCGAGGACACGCCAAATATGGACGATTCTGACGCCAGCTCGTTGAACAGGTCTTTGGCGCCCTGACTGATGGTTTCCTTGGTAACCGCTGTCACGGTCAGGATGTTGTCAATCTCCTGCAGGTCGTCAAAACCTGCGTGCGATAAAATATAATTGTCTACTAGAAAAGTAACATTTGCAAAACCAATACACAATTTTTACCTTCGCATATGGTCTGCTCTGTTAATTCTTACTCATTAAACACATTCACATATATGGTGACAGGAGTCTAAGTCTATAAAATTGCAACATTATGTAACCCAACACCAGTTACCATGGTGACAGACGGTCTAGTTTAAAACCTAGTTCAGGTCATTGACCAGGTCAGAGGTCACTGTTTGAAGAAGAAGAAGAAGAAACTGTGCAAAAACAATATGTTTTCCTTCGGTAAACATAATTACATATCAGAAGGATCCTGAAACGTCTCGAAAACTTTTTGAACAAAAACAGGGGATATATGTACTTTTAGTTTTAAACGTTACTTACCCAATCTTTCAAGAATCTTGACCCATCTGTCCCTGATTTCTCTTCTGCGCGTCCGCACGGTGTGGATGTCAAAGTTCAAGTGACTCCATTCCTATGGTTAAAAAAACAACAACAGAAAAACAGAAGACAATTATAAGAAGAAGCGCCTGACCACGGTTTAGTGGGTCACTTTATATAGATAGACAAAATATTTAGCCATCCTTGCATGCAATATCTTCATCACAAGTACATTGTACGTATAGTATAATCATGTAGTCTTTTCTAGCTCCATGGTATAATAAAGCAATACAACATAACATAAAACGCACTAAGCGTTACGTTATGTATGATATTTCACGATATCTGACCAATCGAACAGCGATAATTCCTCTTACATCTGACCCCCTAGGACATTCATCTCTCCGCCTGATGAGGTTGTAGAGTTCCAGGTCCTCATCAGTCTCCATGTGCGTGCGGTCATGGGGGTCGTGCCAGATGTTGAGGTCGTCATCCTTCAGTCTTCTGGCGGGAAGCTGGTCGTAGTAGTGGATACTGCCACCTCGATCTCTGTGGTAAAAACACAATCGGGGTCATAATATCATTTTAGCCTGGACGCCAAACTGTTGTTGGGGCCAGCTCCTCGGCTAGACCCTGAGAACTAAGGGCTACTTCGGTAAAATTTCCTTGGGACATGTTGGCCCTGGAGCCGTGGAACTACCCTGTACGTACCCTGCCTGACCTAAGCAGCAAGGCTAGATAATGTCCCTGCAGTAACCCTACAGCATCTACTCGCACGTTTGCATACGTACTGGTTCTTGATACAGGGAAGTGTGTCTACTGTACCTGTCCCGAAGCGATGGTCTTCCGGACACTCGCTTCTGCTGCTGACCTTGGAAGAACAACGGTCCACAGAGTAACGTCGCTAACACCTGACCCATAGTACTAGTCTTAGCTATCAAGAACCGTAAAGAATGTCCGTCTTTACAATTGTCTCTTCTTACTGGCTTGGATTCCCGAGTTTGGCACCTTGTACTTCGTCTCAAAGCATGGATTTCCCGTCGCACAACGTCTTTTTTCGCTGCTTTGGTATCAAAGCACAGAAAGTGAAATTGTTTTATAATAAGCTAGCTCATTTTCGGCGTTCAAGGGCATCCCATATACGCGTCAAGCAACGAAACGACCAGTCGATCGGTTCAGAGTGTTGTCTTCAGGCCAGCGGTGGAAAGATTCACGCCCACTTCGGGTAAGAACTCGCGGTATGCATACCGCAACGGAACTGACCTGGAGTCTCCGTCCCGATCTTCAAGGCCTTCTCAGACCGCCTCGACACTGGGTGTACACAGCCCGATATAGACCAACAATCACTTCTAAAATAACGTCTTTATCACCAAGCTATAGGGACAAACATTGACTACCAAACTTGTGCCAAACGACAGAGCTCCACACGCAGGGCCTGTGTACAGCGTTCTGTCTCCTCGTGACTGACTCGTGCAGTACTTCCAAAAACACACAACAGGTCAAATTATCATAATTACACGATGATTAGGGTGAATGCCCTGGCCTAATGGGCATGGCTTTAAGCTTTACCTAGAAGCTAGGTTTGTCACATGCCGGACAACGTGGCTTACCCCTTGTTCCACTCTTACCTAGTTCAAGGCACTATGGAGTTGTTACATAACTTGTAAATTCAGTATTGTTGTAGACTAGGACTCAGACGACTTGATACAAGCTTGAAATTTTATTCTTAGTTCATCAACGCAATCCAGGAATCGCATACGGGAACGTGGTCTTGTCTGGTGTGCCTTGAATTCTGTTTTAGCCCTTTAGTTGTATCTAAACGAATAACAAGATCTAATCTAAGTGACAAATTACCCGCCCCCTTAATACCTCATTTTATGCTTGGGAGAACAATACATGGCAATTAGTGACAATTACAGTACCTCCATGCTGTGCCAGGCACATGGTAGGACACATGTTTTCAGCCAGCTCACGCACTTTGTATGTCCAAATGGGTACGCAAAAGCATAACTGTGATCAGAACCCAGCCTTTGTAATTTAGCTCAGTCAGTAGAGCATGGAACTCGGGGTCTAACCAAGTCTGACAAGCCAACAACAGTCTAAAATGCATGAAACCTGACTCTGACATATTTTATACGGCGATAACTGCCATATTCGGCAAGAGCCGTAACCATTATTAAAAGCTGTTCCTCTTTTTCTCCGTAGCTCTGAACACACGGGTCTGCGGCACTCATGTTTAGCCAGTTGTACCCAAAAGACTGACACGATACCCATTAATCAAAGACCAGAATAACAAATTATCAGACCATTACTTGCATGCTTGCATAATTACCAGAATAATGTGTTTGTCCATGCCAACATGTCATTCATATCGCGGCCTTTCGATAAAAGTGTTGATTCATTTTGCTTTCTTCATATTAATTTCCATTTATCGTGGATTAGTTTTGCCACGTACTGTCGTCGCATTAGATTTGGGGGCGAAACTCGCCTCGTGTCTTTGTTCATGTCCGACACTGTACAAGCTTTATCGATTTGTTTTAGTACAACGTGTTTGTTCCAGATACATATATTTTAGACCATTGGACTTCACAAACAAGTCGTGATCTTTGCTCTCTCGTATTAGGTCATTGGTCTATTTGTGACCGGGATGGACTATGACTCGTACGAATTCAGGCATAGTCAGCAAAATATGGCGTCCTTATTGAAGGGCTAAACGAAGAATGATACATCAGCGAAATGATAAGACAAAGGATTCAGGTCGTTTGTGATATTTAATCTTAGTTTGTAGGCCTTGACTCAGTAGTATTTACGATTTTTCTAATTATAACTTGAATATATTTTATGATTATATAAAATATATTTATAACTTAAAACTATTAATTCTAGTTATCTTCGTACCTGGTCAACAGAGGTTGTGTTTCTTCTTGCCTCTCATCTTTCAGCATTGAAGGTTCCCCCCGGAAACAACATGTCAACATGGAGATCAGGCCGCCATCTTCCAAAATGGCGTCGTCTGGTCCTATGACTCGACGTCTCCTAACTCGACGTCTTCTCCCCTCTGGTACAGCTTCTGCCATTTGTCTTTAATTTTTCAGACGTTTAATTTGGGTTGCCTATAGTTTTTTTTTTCATAAAAGCCAACGTTGTCCGACAAATAGTTCCAATTGGTTGATTAATGTATAAGCTCCTGATCTCTCTTAGTTGTTCTGCCTGTACGAAAGAATAACAATTCAGCATAATTACTTTAATAGGTCTAGACTACAACAGAAAATAATCTGCAAAATAAATTTATACAATTCATTTCATCCTTATATAATTAACGTCAATAATAAATAAACTATCAGAGAATCGTAGTTAGATAGTACTTTCTTTCGACAAATCGATTCTGTCTGGGGAAAAAAAGAGGACTCGATTCGCAAACTTTGTCATCGGTCGGTAGTTTGTTTGCATTTGGAAATTGATGCGAAAATGATTACCTAAGGCCAGCTATTTTTAGGAGGATGAGAATAACAAACAATTATAAACTGAACAAATATTCTAGTTTGGAAAAAAAGGAAGCATGTACAGTTTACATGGCAATCTCATACACGTCTCTGTAACGTCGTTACGTGTACTGTGGGCTACTTATCTAGCCAAAACACCTATAAGCTATACGGCACTCAAAAACATAGACAAGTGAGGGTGGGTCAGCTAGAAATCTGGTTTTACTGCACCTGTAATTTAACATCAGTGGGTTACAGGAGTTCTCATTTACACAGCCAATTATCTCACCTAGAGTGCTAAAGTTTCGGTGTCTATCAGACATCTTCCTCTTAACTTCTGACTGGAGTTCTCGCCGCTATATGTAGCCGATGTAGGTGGCACTCTATAGGTGAGATAATTGTGTACATGAGAACTCCTGTATCCTACACTTTACCAACCTGATGAAACTATTTTCGGAACATCAGTGGGTATTTCCAAGGAGGTTTAAAAAGAGAAACCTCATTGGTATTTCAGATGTAAGAAACGGCGAATAGCAAAATGCAGTGAACAGGTACATATGGACTTAAGTCGTCATGAACAAATCACTGATCACCAGATATGTCATGGACTAATGCTTACAGGTGTGACGAGCGAAAAGACAAGTAAGTCTGCCTACCAGTAACTGTTAAGTCGCAAACCGGCAGTGTTGTATTTCCTGAACGAGTTCCCGTTATTGAAGAGTCCAGTGTACCTCCCCTTTTCGCCGGTTTCAATGCTCCTTTTAACCATTACCTCACCTAGCTGGTCATATGAGTGGCAGGAGAATGGACCTTGGTCCCTGGAAGAGTCTATTTTTACCAGAAGTTGATGACAGAGAGATAACGTACTTCATGGAATGCCAAATACGCATGCTTCTGTATATGCCTATACCTTTGCTGAAGTGAATATCAGGAACGAAATTGGCAACGTAATTTTCTCAGATTTGCGCTCGATTTTAATGTACGATACCCGCAACAGGTCGTTATGGTCAATGTAAAGGTGACTGAACTGATGAAAGGTACGTGACTAATGACATGTACGCACACAGTACGAGTAATACTGGTTAATGAGTGATAGACGCACAAATAAACCAGCCACACGCAAGAGTGTTGAATTAAGGGTTGAGTTTTTATTCTACGGTATTCGACGTACAGTATTTGCAGATCCTTTCGCACAATATCGTATCTTGTGTACGTTGCTTCGCCACTTTTTTATTTCAAGGGGGTGGGAACTAATTAAATTTTGCTACTTGTAGAGCGTCGGTTAATATTAGCTATATAGTAAATAAGCAGATACAATGTTTTATACATCTTATAAAACTGTGGCTTCCCAGAATCAATACTGAAATTGTAAAAAAAAAGTTTCAACTTCAATGTAAGATATTTCTTTGCCTTAACATTGCACATACAAATTTGTTACAAGTTGAATGACAAGAATAGAAGTAATAAAACTATTTACTAGAATTTAAAAACCTTTTCATACGTTGTAACATCTGAGAGGTCTTCGATAATTTGTATTTTGTTGAGACAAAAGCGCATCAGCTTTCAGATGTAACCATGCATTAATTTGTTTACACAAATTGTGTTTAAATCCAGCTGCCGAATTATATTACTGTTTCTAGAATCTTTTTTTGTGAAGTAAAGATTGTACAATGTAATATCTTTTGGACCTATCCTTCAAAGTCGAACTGTAGTCCAGTTGGCCCCAGTTTTTCCTTGTAGAAGGCGTCAAACCACTGACTCTGCTCGTCACTGAAGTGAGACTTCCAGTCACCGACTACACCTGAAAAAACAAACACAGATATATTTTCTACCTGGTTTGCAAAAAAAAAATCATATTCGATAACGGTGATCGAATTTAATGATGACTTCTGATATCATCATTCTTTTTTTTCTATTTCAAATCAAAATCTTGACAGCGTAAAAAGTACAAATTGTAAAAGCCATATTCTATACCCTTTCTAAAGAAAGTTCCCTTCGATGAGTCAAATATCCCCCCTTTGACCTCCTTCCCGTCAACCTTGTTCGTGGTAGGATTGGTCGCCATTTTCTTGAACTTGCTGTGTTCCACGACCGTATCAATCACTTCCGGGGTCACAGACCAGCCCAGGAACTCTGCCACTTTCTCCACCTCCTTCCTGGTGTCCTGCCAGAAAATTGTAAAAAAATAATTATGGTAATGTTGAATATGTCAAGTAATCCAGTCAGAAGCTATGAGGAAGATGTCTGACGGACAGGTAAGCAGTAATATACGGTTGTGCACTAAGACCATTATAATATCCTATGTCAAGTTTAGATTCAAACCAATGGGAATATTGGGCGGGCCGACGCTATGAAGGCTTACCTTTTGTAGGTCTTCATACCGGAGGAATAACACGTTTGGGTTGTCCTTATGTTGCCACCATTCCAACACATGATCGTGCCACGCACCCCTGCTCACTGGTAAATATATCAAATAATGTTTGAGAGAAAATTAAGTGTCAAGTTCTAGGTTCTGTTTAATGACGCAGAACAAAAGAAATGAAATACCTGATTATTGTGTAAAATGACCCTTACAATCGCCGTTGACGAAGTCCTGTACGAACTGTTCCCAGGATGTGGGGTTCTTGAGTGTTGTCACCATGAAGTGGAAGTGATAATAGGAGACCGCGACATCTTTTGGGTTCCTGGCGACGTAAATAACCTACAACATATAATTATACAATGTGATTTGTCAGCAAAGAAACAAAAATGAATGATGATGGCATAAACTTACGCACTGGCATTTAAGCGCGCTCACACACAAACAAACATACACACACACATACACACTCACACACACACACACACATACACACACACATACACACACGCACACGCACGCACACACACACATACACACACACACACACACACACACACATACACACTCACACACACACATACACACACACACACACACACACATATATATGCACATACGCACACGCACGCACAAAGTTTTACAATCACATTTCTATGCATATGGAAACAGAAACCACATTTAACATTTCACATAATGTACACATAGAGAATATACATATTTGTACAAAGGTACATATGATATGTCATATGTATGCACACATATTACATTTCACTTACTTTTCCTTTCCCCTGCGTAAGTTGCACAGGAGCATGACAGAAGTTAAGATGGCTCTTCAGCAACCTTGGTGACGGAGCTTCCGGTAGTTTTCGAAAGGTGGCGCTATCCCCACACTTCTGTTCAAAGTAAGGCACCAGTTCGTCTTGTTCTTTCTGGTCAGTCTTCGAAACGTCGCCGCCGAAATGCAGCAGAGAAACGATGCGCTGTAACCAGGCTGTTCCTGTATAAACAACAAAACATAATCTCCTGTATAAACAACAAAACTCTTTTGGGTTTTCGTGAATGTATTGAAACTTTGGAGCGGATTGTATGTTATATAGTCAGTACATGGACGGCCTTCTGGATTTCCTCCTGACTGTGAAAGCACAGCTGAGATGGGGGATGGGGTGGCCATCTGGTTCGGATGGACAAAACTCGTCTCCCGAAGATAGTATTTTACTGTGAACTTGCTTCCGGCTCGAGAAAGGTCCGACACCCCTACAAGCGCTACAATGACTCGCTGAAGTCGTACCTCACAGCATGCAGCATTCCACATCGGGAATGGGAGTCCACTGCTGCTGACAGAAGTGCCTGGCGCCATGCTGTTCGCCAAGGAGTAAGGACCTTCGAGGAGAACAGACTCAGCGAGCTGGACCGGAAACGACGAGACAAGAAGGGAAGGAGACCCGACCCCAGCGCCAACGTCCTATGCCCAATATGCGGACGCACCTGTGCCTCAGCGGGCTGTACGGTCACCCGGCCTTTTGACCCGATGTCACATGACCCTGTTATCATACATGTGGTCTCTCATGGGACCTGAAGCATATGTCTGAAACCTGAACATACAAACTCTTAAAAAAACCCCAAACTAACCAACCGATACAACAACACACGTCCGCTCCATAAGTTAAATCGTTACGATGAATCATTTTAGCAGCCCTATGAGATTGTGGAATGAATGTTAGTTCACTCCTTGAATCCGTGAAACGACCAACCCAAGTGCTCCTGTTTGGGTGGAGGCTATTTGCAGACTATTTGCAGACACTTTGCTGGAAAGGCGTCTGGTGGCAGTTAAAACGTTTGCATTTAGTTGAGCGTCGATCCCTAAAATCTGAGCGTAAACCCCTTAAATTTGAGCGTCGACCCCCAAACACGCCCGACCACTGGTGAACTACTATTATCCCCAACCACCTGGCAAGCCAACCATGCATGACCAAACCTCAAGTCTACACCCGAATGTTTTGAACATTTTGAAACATTCGGCTGGCGCAGCCGAACACCTAGCCAACCTCGATCGCCGAACACTGGCCAACCACAGCCGACTTTGTTCCCTACCTACTTCCCATCATGGTTGGGACGAGTTCGACAGTGTTAAGCGGGAGCTCGAGGGCATATTCAAAAGTTAGCCTCACCCATTTTTGCGAATTCCGCAGTCGTACGTCACCAAGTGTTCTAGTTCAGACGATTCTGACGGGGAAAACTCACCTGACTTGGGATACGTGATGATAAAGACGTCATCGTCTCGAACGACGAAGTCCTGAATGTCGTCCATGTCTTCAGGTACAAGGTGACTAGCGAGACGCATCCCCTTGTACCAGTTATACTCGACATGATCGTCGCTGGCCGCCATTTTGGGTGCAGTGAACCGGACAGTGCCGGGGTCACCGTATCTATTACCTGGCAGGGTCACGAAATCTTGTGCTCGGTGAAAAAGTGACGTAAGTTTTGGCCCCCTAGCAGCTCGTTCTGGCGTTTATTGGAAAATCTTTGCAGGAGGATAACTCAAGAACTCAAGTAGTTCACGGATCGTCGTGATATTTTGTATGTAGATAGCTTAACTAGCCTTAAGTGTTGCTGAATATGCATAATTGGCAATAGCATATATAAATGGTCATTATGCAAATCAGAGTCTATTTTGCATACTTAAGATCGCCATGTCCACAGAATACCTCGTTAGTATATCCTGGATAGTACACTAGTACTAGGCTCAAAGTTATTTAGCGTGCACACTGGATAATTTCAGCCTAGTGTGCCGTGGGTCTGCCGGCATCCAGGCTATTTTTTAACGTCTCATATGGGGATATGCTCGTATAACGTATGTGGCAGAACCCATAGACTACTGTAGTAACTATGTTCTTGAGTCAAGTTCTGAGAAAGAAATAGTTACCAAAATGTGTTTGGTCATTTTCAGCAGTTTATTACCATTTGCGGAAAGGAGTCATGACATTCATAGAGTGTCGTTCACAAAGATTCCAAGGCTAGCGTAGCGGAGACTGTAGTTAGCGATAATATTGTAATCTTTTACACAATTGAATGAGGAAAATCTGCGAAAAACAAAAACTCATTTACTTGTTCATATTGTAAGGTGACTTAGAAAAAATCTAGAGAACAAAATAAGGAATATTTGTGCCATCTTTTAACAATTTAAAAAGCATTATGCAATGTTTTAATTATTCAGATTTTCTTCCTTCAGTTATCGAATTTTCCCGGGTATGTTTTTTTAAGGCCGGGGCATGATGTGGACATCAGCGCACTCATAGAACATGGCGGGGGCCTGCGGGTTCTTAGTGACGTACACAGCCTGGAGAGTCGCCATGCCGTGCCTGAGGAGACAAGAGAACATTTTCAATTGCCCTATATTTAAAAGGCATTTTAGCTAGCAAAGATGCTCCGTGGGCGCCATTCTACATCTAAGTGATGTAATTACATCACTTAGATGTAGAATGGCGCCCACGGAGCATCTTTGCTAGTCCATTGGCTACAAAATGTTCCAACACGGGCATACACTGATTTGGTGGTGCCAATGCACCAAGAACTGCACATTTATTATTTGACACTAACAACAAAAATGATTTCTTTCTCCTCCGTCATACACGGTCATATACAGTGTTATTAGATTATAAATCACCCCCATGTATAGTTTGCAACAAATGTGTGCTGCAAAGTTCGGTTTAGAAAGTTAACCCAAGGAATCTTTGAACAAAATGACACATGAACACTATGGAATGTGTTTGTTTCCTACCCCATCGGGTGCATCGGGATAGTGATGTTTGTAGAGTAGAGACTCAGGGACGGTTCACCCATGTCTTTGATCATCCCCAGCTGCTTGAACTCTCCCTGCTCTCCCTCCTTCAGGTTGATAGTGAACATTCCCTGTTGAGCAAGAAAGCGGAGATGTCAGACTGACGGATTGTATGATGTAGTCTAATCGTTATTACAACTTATTAGAGAGTTCAACAACCATTACACACTGACAAGCCCTGACCCCGACAAACGCTAATATACATAAACATACAACCCCAGAGCCTAAACCAACGGCGCCGCCCAAAACAATACTTCTGTCTCGGAAGTTAAAAAAAGTAATTCTGCATTGTGTGCAATTAATAAAAATAAACCATGATTGTCATAGATTGATGGTGATTGTTACTAAGGTCTACTGTACCGGTGAGGAGGCGGTATAATGGTCCAGGTTCTTTTGCAGGGTCACGGTGAAGTTTTCGCCCGCCCTGGATAAAGGAAAATAATTCAATAAAACCAATTATATCAAAGGCTACAGACCACATTGTCAAGACATTTTAGATTTAACAATACGTGTATTACTAGAGCATGTATGTATGTACGTATGTGTAGTTGTGCACGTATGTTTGTGTGTATGAACAGTTTAAGCCAAAAATGAAAATATGTACGATTCTTGAAGAGGTATAGTATTCAAGTCTTACATAAGAGCGATCCCGGTATGTGGCATAGGCATCCTCCCGCCACACGGCCCAGTCACCAGGGCGCAGTCATCCGCTCCTAACACACGGAAACACGGCATGGTTACAGGAAAGCCAAGCTTTATGGGGATAACATAAAGTCACGTCATGATGACGAATAAGTGTAGTAATACTTGGCAAACAATATTTAGTATTACAAACTAATATCTAAAATCAATTGATTGACATGATTATTTCAGGCTAATTGTGCAACTCGTCGATTGACTCAGACATACATGCATACCTCAACACAGACAAAATAAATCATATGTATGTGCTGTCATGAAAAATTGACGGGCTTTTGTGGTAAAAGGTCAAGAATTGGTGTTGATATGTGATGTAAGTTAATAGAATCACAGTTTGTTTAGAAAACACAGGTCAGAAGTAAGTTAAATTTACAGTTTCACGTGACCTCTTTACCGACGGTACTGAACAATACATGATTTATTTTTAGCGCCTCTTTGGTTAGCTACTAGGTGTTTGTAATAACCAGTAAGGTGTGTTTTCACAGTACACACGCAGAGCAGAGTGACCTCGGACTGTGCTCTACCTAACGTCAGCTGACCCAGTTTCCAGACATCTCGTGATGATCTCATGCCCAGGTTGGTATAACACCACACAAACAACCTTAGCTTTGCACACACTGGTTATGTAACATGGTAGAGGAGATAGAAGTTTCTTGCATGAAAACACGTCACAATTGCATCAGTTGTCATCGTCAATGGGTAACGTTAGTTGTAGACCCATATATTGAAGAGAAGGGAAGGAAATTGAAGAAGACATGGGCAAGGGGGCGTGGCCTTGAATTATACATGGCCCGCTGTTATGTGTCTCGTTCATCAAAACCGTTTTGTTCAGGTCACAAATGCACACATGAATAATAATTAGTTGTACACCAACATGATGAAGATTAAAAAACACAGGATAATCGAAGACTATGTAGACAAGGGGGCGTGGCCTTCAATTCTACGGGGTCCGTTGTTACGTGTATACACGTCCCTCAAGGCCATATACACATTTACTTCGCGTTGTTTTTATTTTGCTGTATTGGGAAAAATGAACTTTTAGGTTGAAAGAATTCCGTGGTACAGTTAAGCACCATAAAACACATATTATTTGCGGTGTCATGACATCGTGGTAGAGAGGTAACGGCGACAATTAAACCCCCTCGAAAGTAAAGTTCATGGATTCACAATACTACGGATTTTTCCCTTCCAACAACAAAACTAATCAACGGTTTTCCTCCTTCGAGCGTTTTACATGTAACACTGATATAAACCTTCCTTATGCGTAGTTGTAGTATCTTGTATTTTTCCTTGGAGGGTCTTTTCTCACCTGCTTTGTTAATCCCCATCATAGACCCCCGCTGTGGAGGACTGATCATACACATGTGGGCCCAGGTACCGGCCAGGAACATCAGAAACACCGCCAGGGTCTTCATGGTTAGTGGAAGAGTTTGGAGCTACAGTGAAAATGTGTTAACACGCCGCCGTCTGAACAACAAGTGCCCCGTCCTCAGACTTTACTCGCCCGGTGTACCCCGTGACTGTCATACCGGCCCCGGGTGCAATGGTCGGAGTGGTGAGAACAAAGGCAAACAATGTCTGACCTCAGGTGAACCTTTGTGTGCCGAAGTGTTTTTTTTAATTCTACTTTTAGCTTTTCAACATTTGACGATCACCTTTTGAAGATGCCAACCCAGAGACCAGTAAGGTTTGAATCACTCACATGCACTGGGAAGGACCCCGATACAACTTGGTGTGTAGTGGGATCTTTAACGGTGTGACTCTCTTCAAATACAGGTTTACGTCCCATCCAAGAGACCGTCCCCAACTGAAGCTAGGTACTCATTTTCATCAGTGTGAAGAGGGCATTCAAGTGTATTTTGAACTTTACCTTTAGTATTTGTCTAACTACAAGTGTCTCAAAGATCGATGAAATGACAATGGTACATGCATGTATTCCTGTTCTCTTACCAGGTTTGTTTATCCCCACCATCGACCCCCGTTGAGGAGGACTGATCATACACATGTGTGCCCAGGTACCGGCCAGGAACATCAGAAACACCGCCAGGGTCTTCATGCTGCTTTCGGTCCTCATCAAACTTGGGAGAAAGCAACAAAATCGTTCTGTTTCCTCACTAGCTTGTTGTCTACATGCTAGTATGCCTGACTTCCTGGTGTGACGGTGTCAGAGGTCAAAGGGTAAAACTATCTTTGTTCACTTGTCCTCAGGTAACCTTATGCAGTGTATCAAGTTGCCCTGGCAGTATATACAGTCACGCAAATGTTACAGACGTAAGTAGGTGTGCGTTCTTGATGCTTTTACGTTTAATTGTGAGAAATACTGGTAGTCTCTAAATTTAGCCGCCCCTTCCAATTTTCTTACACGTTTTCAGAGTTATTATATCAAGTTGCATATTAAGGGAATGATACAAAATAAACCATGGGTTTTAGGCCCCGGCTCCGCGGTCTTGCAATTGGCCGTGAAGTCAGGCTGGGGACCTATTTCGTTTCGCACGTTTATAGGCCATGTAAGCAAGTAAATGGCACCAAATACAGAAGAATAGCAGAAAATATAGAATATGTGCGTTGTCCTGTGTGTGAAGGTGTGTTTTCCTGTGTGTGTTAGCGCTAAAGACAGCTATGCCTACCTGTGTGGAGATGATTTTCAGAAGGAAGGAAAGATATTTTTAACCACGAACTTGAAACACTTCAAAAACTTTCGTCTATACGCCGCGGAATTCGAAGTAAATGTTACTTCGAAAATGAATGAGATTACAGAACGAAAATGGGACAAAGTGTTTCGTTTAATACAGAGGCTTACACGTGCATATCAGAAATAGTGGATTTATTTTTAAGCTCTTAAAAAGTATTTCCAAGATTGAAGTCTTCGTAATTCGATTAATAGCCTAATAGCTGTAGATAGAGCTGTTTTGAGCACCTGTGTATAACGCATTTGGTATGGTCCATTCAAGATGGCTGTTTTTCAACCGACGGGGATGCTTTGGGATAATTTTCTGCAACTTTCCGGATACTTCTGCGAGTTTTTGGTGGTAGAATGCCTTTTTTGTAAGTGCAGTAGGACGTTGGAAAGTTTTCGTGGTGGACTCGTGCCGTTCTCGTGACGTTTTGAGGAGAAAATGCGAATTTCTGGACGTGGTCAATTTTGGAGAAGAAGCCAAAATGGCGAGGTGCAGTTTGGCATGGAAGGAGTGGCGTGGTTCGGAGACGACATCCCTTGTCTTAAGAGGTAAAATAACTAATTATTCGGCTGAATTATTCCCTAGCAACTAGTAACAACATATTAAGTTGTATTCTTTAGGAAATACAGAAGCTTTGGAAGTTCTGAGCGACCATTCCTGATTTTAGACTGGTTCTGAAACGGTCATTTTTGCCCTGTTTTGACCATTTTCCATGTGTTGTGTTCTTGTTGAGTAAAACATGTACGCGTATGTCTTTATTTATCAACTTAACAACGTTTTGAGTTTATATTGCAAAGAAAGAACACTCTAGCAAAAAAGTCTTATGTTTGTCTCCACGTGGTTCAAAAACACCCGTTGGAATGTGCACGTGTGCATAATTGAATCCGCCAAATACTCGAGTATATAAGTCGCTTATAAAATGAACGTAGCACAAGGCTTGCTTTGCATATATCATTTAAAAGCTTGTTTATTTCCCTTTAATATCAGTCGTGGAAACTCCAGATAAAAATAGCAGTTCCCTTAAATTAATTGATCGATAAATTATAATATGTGGTCAGTAGTGATGGAGAGCTTTTTGTGTTAATATCTGCAGTAACTGGGGCAAGATGTTTTTGCTGTTGATTGTATTTCCTCAGGTAGCAGGGCTCGAAATTCATTTTTGGGAATAGGTGCGCTGGTGCACCCAACCTGAAAAAGCGGATGCACACAAAAAATTGGGTGCAGCAAAAAACTAATTATGTTGTATTTCTTAAGAAAAGTGTTATAACAATGATTTTATTATTTTTTTTACACTTAGGCCATAGCAAGTAAATTTCATGGATGACATCCTCAGCAGATTTCAAATCTAATGCGATAGGGCAAAAAACAAGGCTGGCTAAAAAAAAACAAGATTCCTACATTTTCACATATTTTTCCAATTCATGATTTACATACCAACATTACAGGCATACAATATAGAATTATAATGTTGCCTGACTTGCATTGGTATTGGCATTTTACATTATAACCTTGGATGATACCTGATACTGTGGTAGCCTGGCCTGGCCGGTACCTGGTTTTCCGTAAACCCTGTTGTTCATTTGTGTTAATCCTCAGAAAATGTATAAAACTTGATGAAATGTAGATCTTGTTGATATACAGGCTTCAATGTACTATATACTGTATATACATGTACTAAAATACATCAATCCCTCGCTTTTCCATGGGTGTACTGTTGTGCCAAACAAGCTGCAATACTTAATACATGCTGCTATACTTAATACATAGAATTGATGGTAAGTTCAGCACCAAGGACAGCTCCACACTAAGGCCGCACAACACAGTATTTATGGGCGAACCCGTCAAAAGTAGTCCGGGCACAAAGTAGTGCTGCACAATACTAGAGAAAAGTGCAGAGACTGTTCTGTGCATGGCTTCGAGATGGCACCTGTGGTAAATTTTAGAGGAATGCGTCAGTTTTGAGGCTGTAAAAGTTTAACTATGGTGCGTGTTCAGTCGGCGTAGATTTGCGCTTGGATACTTGTCCCGCCTGTGTGCGTCGGCTGAAGTTCCATAACCTTTGACACTTGGGGTCTCCCAAGTGTGCGGTACGTGCGGCGTGTTGTGCGTGAATTCTCTCCAACTTTTGGGGTAAATTTTCGGCTTTTTGTCCGCAAATTACCCGTCTAAAGTATACAGTTTATCGTCTGGGCGTGTCCAGGTCGGATGTGTGCCGTTCTGTGGATGTTTGAGGGAGAAAATCGTATTTCCTGGCGCTCGCGGGCGGAGTTTGGAGAGTGGAAACGAAAATGGCGACTACCATGGCGGCGTGGTGCTGAAAAAAGACTACCCTGGAAAGCCAGAGTACAGCGGGTCGCGGCTGATTTCTTATCGGCCCGGCAAGCACATATGCCCGCGAAACACGATCCAGCCGGCCAGGGTAGTTAGCGCCCCCGCAGTACTCTGGTAGGGTGAGATACAAAACGCTCTCGACGCGGGGTTTGTATGGGAATTTATTTAGTGTTTGTATGAGTATTTCGAGTTTCTATGACTACTTCAATTTCTGTGTGCGGTCCAACTTTCTGGGGGCACTTTGTTTCCTGTGGCTGATGACAAGACATTAATATAAGGCCAAAGCAAGTAATTTTTATGGATGACATCAGTGCGCGCATTAATTTTTGCCTAATTTTGGAGACAAAAAAACAAGAAATTTTGTTTTCTGAAAGTGGTCAACATGCCGAAACTGTGCAAAGATGTCTGTTGCCATGCCAGAAGGTGGATGGCAGATAACTATGAAGAGAGGAGACAAAAAAGCTTTGATTTAATGTTTTGTTTCTTACATTGATGCAGTGATATGTGATGCTGGCTGTGTATATGTGATGTTTCCACTGAATCAAAACCATTTGTACAATGATTAATTCAAAATCTTAAGATGTAGGAATTTTTATATATTTTTTTTGGCCCGCCTTTTTTTTTTCGCCCGCTCGCATTAGACTTGGAGTCTGCGGAGGATGTCATCCATAAAATTTACTTGCTGTGTCCTATTGATATTGTACTAGTCCATATTCACCATTACCTACAGTTCTATTTGTGTAAGTCAGTCTGTATTATAGCAATGAGACCATGCCTTTCTTGCTGTCTTGTGTCAACTCCTGCTTTAGACTTACGGGTATTTCTCATTCTAACAGGTGTGCTTCAGACCTGTTCTCATCAGATGAAACCTGACAAGACACCACAGGTGACAGTATCGAAGTGTCAGGTGAGAAAAATCTACATTCTTCACTTTTCTACCATTTAGTTATCAGTGTTACATCTTTCCCCTTTGCCCCAGACTAACATAACTTTCTACATAGTTAGGTGTGTCCTGAAGAGTAGCAGTGCAGTTGTACCTGTCTCCACAAGACGAGACCTGACAAGACACCACAAGTCACAGGGGATCAGGTAAGACAAATCTGCATTCCTCAGTTTTTCTACTTGTTATTAAGTGTTACACCTTTGCCCCAGACGAACTTTTCTTTCTGTCTACATAGTTAAGTGTATCCTGAAGAGTGGCAGGGCAGTTGTACCTGTCTCCACTAGATGAGACCTGACAAGACACCACAAGTGACAAGAGATCAGGTGAGATAAAACTGCATTCTACAGTTCCTCTATCAGTTATTGCATGTTACATCTTTGCCCCAGACGAACTTTTGTTTCTGTCTACTGGTATGAGAACCAGACCATGTGTGTAAGATGGGGTTCTACTTTGTCAACCCGGTTCACTGTCTCCAATGGGGTACGACAAGGCAGCCTTCTGTCGCATCATCTATTTAACATCTATATTGATGATCTGAGTATAAAACTGAAAAATGCCAGAGTTGGATGTCGCGTCGGCGGTTTTATTGTAAACCATCTGCTGTACGCCGATGATCTGTGTTTGATTTGCCCCAGTGTTAAATCCCTTTAGAAACTGGTTGGGATTTCTAAACATTTTGGTAAGGAAAATGATATTTTGTTTAACACAAATAAAACTTGTTGTATGTATTTTCCGAGCGCTGGCCTTCCACTCCAGCAGCCTCTGCCCGCCGTGAAAATTTATAATGTTGAGTTGAAATATGTGGATTCTTTTGTATATCTTGGTATTCATTTAAATGCGAAGTTAAGTGACAATGACTGTGTTCGAGTTGAAATTAGACGCCTATATCGCCATACTAATTGTATAAATCGTAAATTCTATCATTGTTCGCCCGTTGTGAAAAAGACTTTGTTTATGACCTACTGTTCTCAGTTGTTTGGAGTACAGTTATTGAACTCTGTTCATGCGAGTGTACTAGCTAAGTGTTGTGTTGCATAAAATAATTGCTTTCGTATCCTCAAGTTGCCAAGAGGTTGTAGTGCTAGTTCAATGTTTGTACACCTCTCGACCGATACATTCGATGCTAGACGCAGGAAATTGTGGTATTCCTTCATTAATAGACTCTACACCACCAACAATAGTATAATATGCTGTCTATTGAGGTCAGACTGTCAATTCAGGAATACATATTTTTAAAATG